GCTGAACACCTTCATGCTGCAAAATGTCAACTCAAAGCTAGGGAGGATCAACACAGGGTCAGGAGTAAATACCAACCTAGACAGTTGGTTCTTCTCAAGGATCAAACTCCTACCAATAAGTTTTCTCCACGGTGGCTGGGTCCTTTCTTTGTCAAGTCTGCCACTCCTGGAGGAGCATACACACTCACAGATGAGACTGGACAGGAGCTCCCTCACTCTCACAATCACTCCCATCTCAAGTTGTTTCGGCGGTGAGATCTTTCCATTTTCTCTTTTCTTTTTATTTCTTCTCTCTTTCTTGCTTTTATTTCTGCTCTCACTCTTCTTACATATTTCTTCAGGCCAGGGAATCATGTGGATCAAGTCTCTTCCATGGTGAACACACTTTAGCTGCATTACCAATTATATGAAGACTCCTCAACTCTTGCTAGTTTGTGCTTCATTTCTTTGGCTTCTTTCCCTATATCAATTCCATCCTCACATTCTCATCACCTCCATGCTTTAAAATTCCCTTCCACACACTCACACCATTGTTGCCTAGCTCTCACTACACATATTCAATCTACTCTTTCACATTTTCCACCATTCATCATCCATTCATACTAGACACTTGGGGACAACATTTCATCATAGAGGACAGGGGGGGGGGGGGATTTGTAGAAAGATTGGAGCATTTTCTCATGTTTGAGCAAGCATTGCAGGAGCATCCCTCATTCCCCCAACAAAGCTTCTCTCCCTCACTTCTAAAGAATTGAAAGATTCTTTTATGAGGCTTTAAGTACCCATTTAGGAGTCCAACCCAAATAGCATGAAGTAACAATATTGGTGGTTGATAACCATATTGACCAAGATCTCTTCCATCTAACCTGAATTAACAAAATCCCAAATGAACCCCAAGGTATACATAGGTTCACCACTCCCCCCAATAACTATGACTTGAGGTGACTTGAGCTCCACCAGATGCTCCAGCTTGAGGTGCTTCACAACCTCAAGGACTGACTGATTAGCACTAAAATCTAGCAACACCTCAACCTTTTGGCCAAAAATCATTGTTTTCATAATTGCATAAGGTTATTCTAGATAATCCTTCTTGAACATGGCAGTCTTTTCACCTTGCTTCTTCTTCCAATTGGCCTTAACTCTATGCCAATCTTCATCCACTTGTTTTGCAAGTAGTCTTAGGGCCCTCCAACCATCATTAGTAGTGAGGCTGAAACTGAAATTGTACAAGAGATTCCTTTATATACTTTGTCATCTCTTGGGTTCAGTATTTGGCTCCCTTGGAGGTGGTTTTATCCTTTCTTCCATAGCCTTGGCCTTCTCAGCTACAGTCCTCTTGTTACATTCTTCAAGTCCTCTACTGTCGTTCTCGAGTGTGAATCATATACAATTGCAGATCCTCTTCTTCATTGTTGTGCTTAGAATCTAGCTTATTTGTCTCTTCCAGATCCCCAGCCCAATAATCCCCTTCACACTTGAAACATTTACCCTGTCTATTGCTTTGGACTTGATCTACCACCTTTATACCAAAGGCCACCATTTGGGGTCCATTTTGAGTTGGGCTTTTTTTTTTCTTATATGAGGTTTGTGGTCAAGCTCTAGACCTTCTTATGCAACTTTTCTGCAGTAGCATCTTCCACATTCTTTGCTTGGTCCGTAGATTTCACCATCTTGTTCACCTTATGAATCTCTGTCTCATAGAAATCTTCTCCATGTTTGAACTCAATTGCTTGTGTTACTGCCTATGCATATGACTCCTATAAAGTGTTCTTCATACAATCTTTCAATAGAGTCCTCAATCCCTCAAGAGAACTAACCAAGCAACCAAAGACAACAACTCAAAATATAAATTATAAGGGGTTTAAAGAGGGAAAGGCCCCTTTTCCAATTAGTTAAGGGCATTGGGTTACTTAGGGTTAAGTGTCCTTAGGTTTGAATAATATTGAGCTAAATAACCTTTGAGGAAATCTAAATTTAGGAGTTTACATTTGGTATTATAGAGGGTCTCAAGTTTAACTTTGTTAGTTTAATAGAGGAATCATATCATATGTTGAAATTGACATTTAGTAGGTTCAATTTGCTTATGGCTTGGCTTGACCCAAGGAGTAAGGTGTCAAGAGAGTGAGGTTTTCAGAAGACCTATGGCAAAGTCCAAATTCAAGAGCATATGGGCCTCAATTGCATTGTAAGCCGACTCAAGGCATTTGCAAAAGTCTGGATAGTTTCACTGCTGAGTGACCTCTTGAGGAGAAGTCCAAATTTAGGAGCTTACAAGGCCCAACTACATTGCAAGCCAACTTAGGGCATTTGCAAAATTCCAGAAAGTCTCATTGTTCTTCTGAGTCTTTGTGGCAAGCTCATATAGGAGTCTTCAATTATCCAAGTTGAGAAACTAATCTCTAAACTTCCACTCAAGCCAGTTGAGCCTAATCTCACATCCCTCTGGATCCCCTAGGAAATCTTCCTTTGAAGAATTCCACTAAACCTTGGCCGGTCCAGTGGACATTGCACTTTCAGCCCATAGCAAGGTGTTGTAGTCTAACCAACCATTCAATTTTGCTATGAAAAGGGTTGCCAACCAGTTTTGATTCTTAGTTGGTTTACCATCTCCCTTGAAACTAGGCAATTTAAACTTGCTAGAGATAGTGGCATCTCATTCACATAGTGTAGTAAGACCTCATAATCCACTAAACATCCTAGGAGGATTTATCAATGATCCTTAGCATACACTTCAAACATAGAGTTGTAAGTAACTAGGACATGAGGATCTTCCTTCTAGTGAACACTTAAGTATTTACATAGTTTAGTTCTTTTATGCCCCAACTAGAATAATGATTTTCCCCAAATCTTTGTTATCCTCTAGCACAAATTCTCATTGCACAACTCCTAGGGAATATCTACATATCTTCACATCACACCTTCAATCAAACATGACTTTGACTATTTCAAGGGTTTGGACAGCACATGGACATATGGTGTGGAAATGGGATGGAACATGCATAATGAATGATGAATAATGGTGTCATGAGTGACCAAATGAGTGAATGGTGAATATGAAAATAGAGAGGATGATATGTAGAGGATGACATATAGAATGAAGTGACGTTGATAAGAACTTGGTATCTAACTTGGTATGACAATCTGATTAATAATCTTGGTAGTTAGGAATAGGGTGCCACCATTTCCTTACTGTGAAAAGTCTCCACTGAATAGGGTTTCTTTAATCCTGGTGTGGGGAGACTAGCAGCTGGAAATTGTGTGCATCTGACTAAAGTGCCTATTGGGTCCTAAGCCCACATCACCAGTGGATATTCTGCCACTTGGCCAGATGTGTGGCAAGCTCTTCTAAAAACATGGAAGCACAAAGTCAATGAGAGTAATAGTGCATACTAATATCTGAAGGGCAAGTTTGATTGTTCCCCCTTCCTTGATATCAAAGGGTAGTAGAATATTACATATCCTATCATTTGGTTGTGTAGGGAGTGAGACTAAATAGAGAGATCTGTCATCTTTTCTAGAAATAGCAAAGAATCTCCAGTATTAGCATCTATGAGGCATATTTGTAGAATGTAAATTATAAAACTACAATCTAATGCCATTTCATATTTAATAAATTTTCATGATTGTTTCAAAGACTAACTCCTAAGACTGGGGTGTGGGGGGGTTGTGGGGGGTTTTAAATGTATAACAAGAGTAGTGGATAGGTTGGGTATGGTTGACTAACTTGAGGTGTAGTGGGTCTTGGGCCATTGAATAAAGGGATGGGAAAATTCTTGAGTATATAATAAAGGAGCAAAGGAACTAAAGCATAGAATAATTCCTTAGAATATAACTCAAAGTGCAAAGGGACAAAAGTAACACTAGAATAGTTTTAGAGCATACAACATCTTAATGCTAAGACCAGCACACAAAATGGAGCTAAATGAAGTTTGGCACTACCACTATACTAGTGGTTTAATGTGAAGATATAAATCTTTTATCAACTAGCATGGTATGGAGCTTAGGCTTTATCCAAGCCAAGCAAAGGATAAGCATGCAAAGCAAGGTTCTCCCTTAGTCCATGTATTCAAGAGTTTAAATTCCATGTACTGCAAATATGTTTAGTCGTTTGTGTTTGTGGCAACCATGCACAACACCTTAATGCTGCAGTTTGCATCTTGAATGCTAGCAAAATTCTACAAACACATACACATTTTTTATTTAAATAATTATAAAAATATAAATTAATACACACAGATATAGAAAACCAACACAAAACAAGAGTAGAAAACCAGTAAAAACTTGATAAACTCCTCATATTGTTGTTATTATCATCTTTGTCTGGTTTTACATAATCCCAAGCCTTGATATCAGGCGGTGATTTTGTGCACACAGGGATCCCTACACCCTTCAATTGCACAAGATGCCATTAATCCTCTTTACCACTCCTTGAAATTTGCTGTGGCAGTTTGCATTTCCATTTGCGAACTCTAGAGTGGTAGGATCCCATGACCACAACATGCTCTCATTCTACATTTGCCATTGCTTGTGTGCAAAACATTGCCCACTGTTTGCAAAACACTACACATATTCTTTGTGTGTGTGTGTGTGTGTTTTAATTTCCCAGCCAAAGCAAAACAGATTTTGCGAACGTTTGGATATACTGGCAAACGTGTTCATAAGTAACCATGAAAGAATGCTTCACTCCTAGTGTTAGGTGCCAGCTTTGACCACATGGTCAACATCAGTCAAAGAGAGGCTCAAGGGTATATTATGTTAGGGTAAGGGATTTAACCTACCCTAAGGCCTACAGGGGAGTGGTGGTGCAGTGGAGCTTTTTGAGGTAACTCAGGGGTGGTTGGGTGATGAGGAACCTCAAAAGGTGGCATAGCATAGTCTAGGGCGACTAAATTTCTGTCTTTTTGCGCTGGATCATAACATTGGTATCAGAGGAGTTGGTTGCGATGGCCAACCAAGTTACGTTCAGCGATCTCGCCGGATTGCAGCCCTAAGTTGTTTGAGGAGAGAGCTCGAAGGCACTAGAGAGAGAGTGTGAGAAAGAGGGAGGGAGCGAGTGTCCAGGGCGGCACAAGCATCGCAGACCGCGGCAGCAACACACGGAGCTCGTCTCCCTCCTCTTTCTCCTCTTTTCTCTCGCTCTCTGTCGTTTTTATCGATATCTCCCAAACGGCTGGGAGAAACCTCGATTCCTTCGACGGGGGGCTTCTAGGAGTGTAGATTCTCATCCTCCTAGAAGGCCGCGGCGAGATCTGCCACGGATCTGGAGATCTCGCTGGCCCTAGGTCGCTGCTGTTTTTAGGGTTCTTCGGCGGCGGCTAGGGTTTTTCGGGGCTTAGAGATCTGGAGGAGTGGAGAGGGCAGCTAGGAACACCACGGCTGCAGCAGCTGGACGCTCTCCTCTCCTCCTCTTCTTTTTTCGCTTCTCATGGTTTCAAGTTTTTTGGGAGCTCATAACTCCTGAACGGCTTGGAATTTTTCCACAAAAATTCACAGGGGGATAGCTGGGAGGGAGCCTCACACCCTCCCAGAAGCGCAGGCAAAAATTCTTCACGGTCTCAGAGTTCTCACCTGCCCTAATTCGTGGCTAGGGTTAGGGTTCTTGGCTGGCTTTTGCCCTAACTGCGGTTAGGGCAGGACTTAGGGTGGCGGCGGGATCTTCGATCCGGCCACTCTAAGTGTCAGGGATCTTCGTTGCATGTGGTTGGCACGGCAGCAACATGGTGGAAACGCAACGGTTGCTGGTCTCGCAGCTTCGAGCGGGATTTCTCGCCTTAGGTCGGGCCATGCAAGGTGGCGACTAAGGTACGGAGAGCGTGAAGCTGCATGTGTCGGAGGTTCTTGGCGACTTGAGTCGTGGAAACACGACCAAGTCATGGGAACTTTGTTGACTGGTGGAGGACAGTTTGGGACGACATCCCGACATAGCGAAGTGTCCGCGGTGGATGGACGTGGAAGACACTATGGGCGCATTTTTGGATCTAGTGACAGGGAAGTGCTGTCACAAAGGGGGCCAGTGGCGGATGGCTGAGTTGGTTTGCTCGCGGAGGGGATCCCACATGGTTCTTGCTTCAGGGCTAGTCCTTTGAGGAGGTTCGCGGAGGCTTGCAAGTCTTGTGATTGTCGCGATGCCGGCAACGGGGGCTCGTATATCATTGAAGGGGGCCAGCGCACTTGTCTAGTGTGGGAGGCAAGGTAGCATGCTCTAGTCTAGAGCTGGAGGAGGCTCACACCTCGCTTGTTCTACGCTTTGGAGTTTGTTCGCAATGGGCACCGACTTAGTGCTGGAAGTACACTGGGGAGGTAGGCGCTCCAAGACACAGCATCACGTCTTGGGGCGTAACAGGTGGCTTCAGCTTGTGCAGTGGAGTCACCTTGGAGGCGAGTGACCCATGAGCAACGCCGGGTCATCGTGCTCGAGTTGGACCACTTGGCTGCGACGACATCGAGCTAGATCGACATGGTGTTCGTCTGGCTTGTCATCATTGTGACCGAGTGGAGGAGTGGCAAGGCGAAGCAGGTGGCTTCAAGCTCCGCGGTGGAGTCACCTGGGAGGCGGACGGCCCAAGAGCAGCGCCGGGCGTTCGCGCTCATAGTTTCACTAGTCTCTTCGAGAGTGCGCTCTCAATGTTGTTTTGATCCCTTTGGGATTGGGGTAATGTACATACATGTTTAGCGATGGCCAACCAAGTTGAACGCTGGAATTCTATTCTTGATGGTGGTGCCGAAGATGGTGCCAACAAAGCTATAAAGATTTAGACAATTTAAGATGTTGTTCATGAATTGCGAGCCCTTAATTGAAATCGGTAAATGATGCAAGACAAGATACATGGCATGATGGATACCATACGTGAGCATGTTGAGGCACTCGAGGCTAGACGTGGTAGCACTCCAAATAAGCCTTCCTTGGTAGATTGACTCAAGATTCCAATCTTTTCTAGTGATGATGGTATGGATGACTGTCTCGTTTGGCTAGCCAATGTGAAGAAGTTCTTGGCTGTTAGGGGAACTCCGGATGCAGAGGCTTTAATTGTTATTTCAATGGTTTTGTGTGATGCGGGTCTACAATGGTGGAATTGGCTTGAGGAGTCTCATGTTGTGGATAAGAAACCACCAGTGTCTACCATGGATGAGTTTGAGGCTGCTTTCTTTTTACATTTTCCCCTCACTACGACGTGGAGAATGCTCACACAGAACTTCGACATTTCCAGCAAGGGAAAATGACGCTCGGGAACTATATTGAGAAGCTTGCTCACTTGCTTAACTGTGATAAAACCCTTGCACCACAAGGGTAAAAGGGGGCATTTGTGAAGAGCATTGGAGCATTTCTCGTGTTTAAGTGAATGTTAGGGTAGGTGCCCCTTTTTCCCCCAATAAATGGTGAACTTAACGTGATGCGTAGCGCTTTTTATTGCATTATTTTTCTCTTTTCTTTTTGGCCACAAACTTTGAGAAGCAATTTCTTGTTCGTTTTGCAGTGGTTTTGCTTGATCTTAGGTGTATTGAATAGGTTTTGAGCTCCTCTTTCTGACAAGCTATAGCACTCATCAAGCTGTGAAGTATTTGAGGAGATATAATGTTTCTTGGTTTGGTTTAGTGAATATTTTGGGGTTTCTCCTTTCTTGCCTAGATTCTCGGCCCAATTTCTTAAGATAATGCATTTGGTTTTGTAGATATGGCCTAGATTTACAAGTAAATGTGCTTCTTGGTGCTAAATTTGGGAGAATTTATGGCATGCAAAAGGATTTTCTTCTTTAGCTAGAAAAGGGCATCTTTGCAACAGAAATTCATGCTTCTCTAAGTTTTGTTTTGGATGCCATTTTTTTCTGGAAGTGCTTCTAGTCTTAATCTTTTTGATATCAACAGCACCTTAGTATTGATCCGAATTGATGACATGCAGATGTTTTTCCATAAAATTAGTGTTTTGGGCTATGTTTTCTTAGATCTTACAGGATATTAAGGCATTTTCGTTGCAAATTTTTAGAGTAATATGGTAGATGGGGTTGAGCTCTTTCCAACAAGCCTCCTTATAATCAAAATAGTGAAGGATCAAGACCAAAGTACTCATTTTTCTCTTTTATGCTAAACTTTGGTGAGAGTTTCTGGGAAAGAAGCAATCTTTGGGGAGTAGAAGTGTTGAGATGTGGCATCTCAATTCTCCTCCTTTCTGTGGCTTTGCTCACATCCTAAACTCTCTCTCTCCATGCTCTAACTTAGGATACAAAGTGTAAAACCCTTGATATTTCACCCTCATAGGGCTTTTATACAACCATTTAAAATATTCCAGGAATTAGAATATTCTCTCTCTCTCTCTCTCTCTCTCTCTCAAGATGCCCACAGCTGCAATTGGGGTGTAGGAGGAGTAGGAGTAAGAGGAGTTAGAGCTGGAGTGGGAGTAGGAGTATATGGCTATGGTTGCAACAGGTGATCACAGTGGATTGCCACTAGCTCCAACGTGGCGAGAATCCACAACTAAGCTGAGGAAGTTTGATGCCAAGACCTGGTATCTGTTGCAAGTGGTAGAAACAAGAAAATATAAGGGAAAAGAAAAGTAAGAGAAAATGCTGCAAAGTTGAAAAGGGAAATGGAGTGTGAAGTTCTGGATTAGAGGGAAAACCACATGGAGAAAAATCTAAGCCAAAATTGGATGCTCAAATCAGGAAAAGTGATAAAGAGAGAAAAACAAAGGAAAAGAAGAAAAAGAAAGGAAAAACAAGGCACAAACCTAGACTTCAGCCTTATAGGTCCCCAAACCTTCGAGAAGTTCCTCTAACACGCCCAACTCACCCCTAAAGTTCTGAAAAGTGGAATGAATACATTGTGGTAAATGATAGAGAAGGGAGCTATACATGATGTGATGTAACAAGATTGGAAGTAGCAGCTGATATGTCATTGGGATTTGATGTAGATTATGCTGCAACCCAGAATGAAGTGGCTTCTATGGCCAAACGAAGCTGGAAGTATGTGGAGTGAGGAGTTTTGTCTGCTCCACTAGTGAGTGTCTGGATGCTTGTTCTGTGCAGGCCTAACTGACTAAAAAAATGAGAGAAAAACAAAGAAAAAGAAGAAAAGAAAGGAAAAACAAAGCATGAACCTAGACTCCAGCCTCACAAGTCCCCACACCTCCTCGAACACACCTGGCCCATAGGGAAGAAAGTGAAGTGGAGTGAATGCATTGTGGTAGATGATAGAGAAGAGGGCTATGCATGATGTGATGTAACAAGACTAGAAGTAGCAGCTGATATGTCATCAGGATTTGATGTAGAACTTGTTGCAACCCAGGATGAAGTGTCTTCTATGGCCAAATGCAGCTGGAAGTACATGGAGTGAGGAGTTTTGTCTCCTCCATTGGTGAGTGTCTGGATGCCTATTTTGTGCAGTAACTGATTGATGAAAAGAGCTGAAATGTCCCTGGATTTGCTATAAGTGTAATGGTTCAAGCTGTATCTTTTGTCTCCAACATCCAAAAAATGTGATTTTTGTTGCGTTGTATTGCTGAATGTCTTCCAGATAGAGTGATGCTAGAAGATTCCAAGTACCATATATGAATGGTGTAGAAATGATGAGAAACCAAGAGTGGGTAGTTGTGATGATGGAATGCAGTGATTATGAAAGTGAATAGGGTAATGATTTGTGAATGGATGTGTTCCTTAAAGTGATAAAGACAAAAACCTGGGAACCAAGGGGAAAGGCCAAAAGATGAACGAGCTCCTGGATGAGTGGAGTTAAGGCCACCTTGAGGCTGGAACCCAAGCTTGAGCTTGTGTCAGAAAGAGCATATAGGCCTTGAATGGTGGATTCAAGTCCCGTAGAAGAACCAACTGTCCCAGTGCGAACTCATCATCTAGCTTGGCACAGTCCTTTTGGGCTTTGAGTTTGCATTTTGCAGCCTGGAGGTGATCAATGGCTGCCTGTCCTTGTTCATCCAAGGTGATGATGTCCCAGGCTTGAGCCTGTAACTTCTCATCTGCTGTAAGTCATGTGTCTACATCGTGTCGAAGTGAAAGTGATAGTGATGGAACTGTGAGCTCCAGGGGAAGGATGGCCTCTATGCCATAAACCAAAGAGAAAGGAGTGGCTGAGATGGAAGACTTGAAGGATGTCCTGAAAGCCCAGAGTGCAGTTGCCAAGTGGTCGTGCCCTTTGTGAGGATGATCGGCGATCAGCTTGCCAAGGATGGACTTTAAGATCTTATTGGAGGATTCTGCCTAGCCGTTTGCTTGAGAGAAATGGCTGCTACTCAGAGTGTGTTGAACGTCCAGCCTTTCCATGAGGTGCTCAACCACTCAGCTAAAAAATGCTCCTCCATGATCGGAGATGAAGACTACTGGGATGCCAAATCTGCAAATGGTTGATTCATAGAGGAACTTTACCATGGAAAGTTGATCTGCATGTCGATCTGTATCTTAGAATGCAGTGATTATGAAAGTGAATAGAGTGATGATTTATGAATGTAAGTGGATAGAAATGAAGAGGAGGATGTGTTCCTGAAAGTGATAAAGACAAGAACTTGGGAACCAAGGGGAAAGGCCAGAAGATGAAAAAACTCCTGGACGAGTGGAGTTAAGGCCACTTTGAGGCTGGAACCCAAGCTTGAGCTTGTGTCGGCAAGAGCATATGGGCTGGTAGGACATGAGATACAAGTGAAAATAACAAAGAAAAGAAAAGAAAGTGAAAAGAAAGGAAAGAGGTCACCGGATGTTGAGGTGGCTATGGTTATAAGCATGGGGAAGCTCATGACCATCCTCATCAACCAAGGTGTAAGAACTGTGACCAAGACACTGCTGGATGAAGAATGGTGCCTGCCACTTTAGAGAGAACTTGAATGGTGGATTAAAGTCACGTAGAAGAACCAGCTGTCCCGATGGCAACTCACCATCTAGCTTGGCACGGTCCTTTTGGGCTTTGAGTTTGCATTTTGCAGCCTGGAGGTGATCAGCAGCTGCCTGTCATTGTTCATCCAAGGTGATGATGTCCCAGGCCCGAGCCTGTAACTTCTCATCTGCTGTAAGTCGTGTGTCTACATTGTGTCAAAGTGAAAGTAACAGTGATGGAACTGTGAACTCCACTGGAAGGACGGCCTCTATGCCATAAACCAAAGAGAAAGGAGTGGCTGAGATGGAAGACTTGAAGGATGTCCTGAAAGCCCAAAGTGCAGTTGCCAAGTGGTCGTGCCCTTTGCGAGGAGGATCAGCGATCAGCTTGCCAAGGATGGATTTAAGATCTTGTTGGAGGATTCTGCCTGGCCATTTTCTTGAGAGAAATGGCTGCTACTCAGAGTGTGTTGAATGTCCAGCCTTTTCATGAGATGCTCAACCACTTGGCTCAAAAATGCTCCTCCATGATTGGAGATGAAGACTGCTAGGATGCCAAATTTGCAAATGATTGATTCATAGAGGAACTTTGCCATGGAAAGTTGATCTGCATGTCGAAGAGGAACTATTTCAACCCACTTTGTGAAGTAATCAGTTGTAGCGCACGTGGTTTTGACCCTTTATCCTATGGTGATTTACCATAGGATAACACCACGAAGCGGAACCTAAACCCTTTTTGTGCCACGTGACAGATGCCACGTGTCACATACCACGTGTCCAAAGGACAGTGGTGTGGAACCCGAGGTTCAAGGCATTGGGCCACTGAATGAAGGAACGGTGCCAAACTCCCAAGTATGGAGCCAAGGAGTGAT